TGTTGGACTCAGATATTTTGCCAAACTCGGCTTCGTGGGCTCGAGTGAGAACTTCCTTGTAAAGGGCCTCGGCCTCTTCGTATTTGGCCTGTTTGAGGTAGGCTGATGCCTAAAGGGATAAGGTGTGTAACGAGAGAGGAATCATTTGAACGCGAAAGTTCGAAGTCTCTGTGTAGATGCAACATGCGAAAATAACTACACAAAAAACATGCAATTTTACGTGGCAGAACGCAGAGAAGCAGCATGCTAATCGGGTCCACCACTCCATTTGCAAGTTTATGATAGGGGGAACGCTGTGATATGAGTGTACTCACAGATGAACATAGTCAGGGTAGAGATCGTGCAACGTGTATAAACTGCATACCCAGGCATAGAACAAGCTAGTTAAAGGGGGACGACTGGAAGGATGTAGTCTTGGGCACAACAGTCAATTTTAAAGCATAGTTGAGGAAAGCAGTTTTCGGGACGCACATGAAGTAGAAATTTTTCATTCGAATTGTGTTAGTATCAATGTTGGGATGACGTGAAAGCACCCATGTGATGTGGTCAGGAATACCCATAAGACATCGACCCTCACTTATAACTTTCACTTTTAAGATCAACACGAGGGGCAGTCCTCGACCTCAGCTGTGTGGGAGGCATCAACTTCAGTGTTCCGGAATATTTGGATACAATCGCGATCGCACAATACAAATTCAATCAAAACTGGGACGGCTCGTTGTGACGCTCAGTGAAACAGTCTTTAGTGAGGGTTAACAGGACCAAGAGTCCAAAAACAGTCACTAACGGACGATGCAGCAGTAATAGAATCGGGCGTGGCTAAGTACAAGCAGCCAAACCGGTTATTTATAACAAGGAAACAAACCAACGTTGCTTGCTGAACAATTAATCTTCAGTTGCTTTCATTTGGCACAAATGTGGAACGTCGTGTAGGTTGATTCTTCAGGTGAATAGAAACGTCCACACTCTAATTCGCAAACTGCAGGTGGCCATGGATCCATACCTCGTGATCTGCTCTCCTAAAAGCTAATATACCGAGCGGAGCAATTTCTTGCCCATCCGCAACAGTAGCGCTCACTACTAATTA